TCCACCTCCAGAGGGATGGTGCCCTTCAGTGTCTTCACAAATATCCTCATACCTCCCAAGAGCCCCAGAGAGAGGTCAACAGTACTCCCACTATGAAGACCACAATCCTTCAGCCTCTTCTCATCTCTCAGCACCCTCCCGCCTGACAACACCTTCACCTGGTCTGGTGGGATCCCTTCTCTCTCATAGATGATTGACTTCAAGTGCCTCACTGTGTCCCCACCCCTCACTCCTAGTGCTAGGGTCTTCCCAGACAGACTTCTGAGGAACACCTGGTACTGTGGCCGGCTCCTGAGGACCAATCTGCACTTGCTGGAGATGAGTGTGTGATAGTATCCCATTCTTCTCCTGTCCTCAAGGCAAACTCCATCTAGACTAAGTTGTTGTAGGCGACGTGGGGTACCTTCTAAAGCCTCAACCATCTTCTTTACTCTCCTGACAGAAGTGGAGGACTCTACCTTCAACTTTATGTACTGGCGGCTCTTACCCTTTCTCACTTTCAAGTTATAGAAGTGGAGTCGTCGAATGACATATATCTCGGCTCCACTTCTGATTTCATAGTTCTCTAAGGAACTGTTGTCATTGATTGGCTTACCAGCAATGATTAGTCGTTGACGTTCTGGGGGAATCTTTGCTACTTGAGCAATTTTACTTTTCACGTCGTGGACAGATTCGCTAGTGGCAACCTCAAGAGGGAAGGCTTGGCCTGTCAGTGTCTTGACAGTGATAGGGACCACCACAAGCAGTCCCAGCTCAGACCCTCCCTGGATACCACGCTCCCTCAACAACACCTGGTCCTCTAGTGTGCGGCCTTGGAAAGACAGTCGCTGATGTTCTGGTGGAATACCCAGTTCAGCCTCCAGCACTGCCTTAACATCCTCCACTCTCTCTCCTTTCCCTGCCGTGACTGAGACTAGTTCACCTGAAGGTTGCCTCACACGCAGCCTTATCTCCTCTGTTGGACTATACAGGTGGAGGGTACTGCCCTCTAGTACGTGGTAGTCTCCAAGCAAGTGTTCGTTCCTCATTTCCCTCTCATTGAAGACCAGGCTCTGGCGGTAGACTTGGAGACCGTCTTTGGCCGCTATTTTTCGCTTGGTGCTCTCGACCGTGTCAGAACTCTGTACCACGAGTGTAATGGTTTTACCTGACGGAGTCCGCACGAAGATCTGCATATTTCTGCTTCTCTCCTGTATACACGGTAAGCAATCGGCCACACTAAGCGTAGGTGCTCTATTTCTACCTTTTCTTGCTAGAAATAGAAGATCCACCCATGGGTGGGGCTAAGAGTGCGCGCGTGCGCGCGTATGCGCGCAGTTAGCTCATACGAGCCACTCCCACTTCTGCAGTTGCAGCAAGCGAGCGATGAGTGTATATAATATACGACCGCCTACTCATCCCTGCTAGAAATCGGTTATCTTCACGTCCAGACGACTTCGTCCGTACACTGTACTGCAGTCAGTAGGACGGGAGATGGCGTCCACCTCCAGTAGGAGCGATCTGATGGACGAGTATCACAGACTGGCGGCTGACACCCTCCTCGGTGCTGAGTAAGTGGCTTCACCCTCTGGTCTCTGGGAGCCGTGTCTCTGACTGTGCTTTTGTCGTATAACCCACCCTTTACTGGGACAGTAACTGGCCTGTAGCTTTCAGTTCAGACAGAGTTATTTACGGAATCCGTAGAGGGACTAAGTCCCGCGATACCGCAAGAGAACTGGTCTGGCCACCTAGCTAGTTTTAGTCTTACCCCTAGCCTACTCCACGTGTGTGAAATAGGCAGGCTACACCAGACCAACCAAGGTAATTTTCCTGTGTTTAGCGATAGCCCTAGGACGTGTCCAAAACCGACCTAGGTTGCATACACATGCGTGTTGGGGGTATTAGCTTATCCAGCAAGACTCCTACTGGCATTCTCATCCCTTACTCTCCAAGAAAGAAGAGAGCTGTGACATAATGCTCCAGTGGTCGTAGTTGCTGATATCCTATGGTGTTTATCTCACTGATGTTATTGCTGCTGTTTGTGCAGGTCAAACAAGGTTGCTGTGGCAATATTGCAGGCTGCAGAGGTGAGTGAATCCCATTCGACAGTATTCTAATGACTTTCATTATTCAATAACTCCATATTCATAATTTCCTACTAATGCACCAGTGGCAGAATCAAGTAATTAAGCATTCCACACAAACTAAGCAATCTTCACTAGCAGCAAAGTCAATACTGCACTTTTTGGTCCCACTTTTGATGTTGCAGCACAGTAAGCAGTGTGATTTTCCTGCCTTGTAATGCTCCCTTTCACTCTTTTCCTTTCTTTTCCTTTTATCATTGAGTACTGGTATCTATATTAGGGTTGGGAACACACTTGCACTGTTCACTGTGTGATGGGGTTCACTATTATTTCTCTACTATTATTTCTCTTTCCACTGGTTCTGATAGGGTGGTGAGTTACAGAGATTGGTGAAGCTACTGACAGAACACAGGGACCTGGTGGATGCTCGTCATCCTGATTCTGGGGATACCCCTCTCATTAATGCTGCCAGGAGTGGACACAAAGATGTGAGTCATTGCAGAACATAGAACCTCGCTATTCCAGCCACACTTGAGACCTGAAATAGTGGCTAGGTTATCTCAGGGTAAGGTTATTATGTGAAACATGCATAGGTCGTTCCAAAGCCATTGGCTGCTTTAGCAAGGTGGCTGCATTTCAGAGGCTCTTTTAGGTTCCACTATGAAAATGTAAAAGCTGGGACTTTCTTCTCGTTAATCAACCTATGGGGAAACAACTTTTAAAAGCACGAATGATTGAGGCGTGCCTTAGTTTGAACCTTGAGCCAAGATGTATGAAACATCCATACTGTTATACACTTTTTAACAAGAGAGGACATAGAATTAATGTATGAGCTCACAAGTGCTTGCATGAATGACTTTCACGGGAACATGGGCACAGGTAGTGGATGTACTGCTGAGTTGTGGAGCAGATATAACTCTGGAGAACGACAGTGGAGACAGTGTGCTGGACGTGGCAGGAGACAGACTCCGCAGACATATCCTCAGTGAGCTGCTGGGAGAAGGGGAGTGGGGGTTATTAATGAGGGATATTATGAACCTCTGTTATTGTGTCCTCCTCAGAGTCTATCAGTCATGAGGATCGCTCCATGAGCAATGCCAAGGCTCTGCTGAGGTCTGCATGGCTGGGGGATTCCGTCAGGCTCAGGAGATGTCTGGTAAGATTTCTCAATACCTACTGTTTGAGCTTCAAGGGCATGACTCCCCAGCTATTCATATTGTTATCCCTGTTGTATGTAGCTCCTTGTGCAGTGTGCTATGTGAAGCTGAATAACATGACTATTGTCTTTTCTCTCTCTTCTCTCCCTGGCTCATCAGTCTGGGTCCCATTACCTGGATGTCAACAACAGGAACAGTGATGGCCTAACACCTCTGCTACTAGTCACCAGAGATGTCTCCTTCTTCAGTAAAGGTACATATATACTACTAACTCCAGTGCATACACTTATTTCTCCTCCTTTCTGTATAGTATTGTAAGTCAAGCGTGAGTCGTTATTACTTTTCATAAAGAAAAATCAGGTCCAATTTTTTTTCGTTAACTACAGTTCAAACAGCCATGGAGACAGAATACAACCCTGTAGAGGTACTGGAACAACTTTTGAACGATCATGCGTAAGTTCAGCCACCTTTCATCCTGCCACCCTCCCACTCCCCACTCCCTCACTTCTCACCTTCACCCTCTCACTCCCCACTCTCTCACTTCTCACCCTCTCACCCTCTCACTCCCACTCTCTCACTTCTCACCTCTCACCCTCTCACTCCCCACTCTCTCACTTCTCACCCTCTCACCCTCTCACTCCCCACTCTCTCACTTCTCACCCTCTCACTCCCCACTCTCTCACTTCTCACCCTCTCAATCCCCACTCTCTCACTTCTCACCCTCTCATCCTCTCAATCCTCACTCTTCTCCCCATCCTCTCAATCCTCACTCTTTTCTCCCACATTCTCCCTCATCCTCCTACAGTGATGTGAACCAGGCTGACAGTCAAGGTCAGGGTCCACTGCACCTCATTGCCTCCTCTGGTCCAAGTATCCACGCCACCAAGATGGTCTCTCTTCTACTCCAACATGGATCAGCCACTGGTACATAGCTATGTAGAGTGGAGCCTCTGATAAGGCACCCTCTGAGAAGACCTCTCTACAATAGACACTTGTTTACCCCATGCTATTGCTTCAGTGTATTATTTGACCTCCGAGAGACGACCTCTCTACACAGGACACTTGTTTTAACCCCGTGCTAACAGAATCAAAGTGTATTCTCAACACTCACATCGACCATGAAATCTCCCCCCTTTCTCCCCTCACCTCTCAATACACACATTAACTATGAAATCAAACCTCCCTTCCCTATTTTTCTGCTCTTTATAACTCCCCATCTTTCCCCTGACTCCAGATGCTCTGTCCTCGTCCTCCCAGTCTCCTCTCCACGTGGCCTCGTCTCATGGTCACATGACAGTCATTGTGGCACTGGTGGAGGAGGGAGGGGCTGACATCAACCTCCAGACCTCACAGACTGGGGACACCCCTCTCATCATCTCTGTAGGTTCTCTACTGAGCATATATTTGCAGAAAGATGGTTTCCAACAATATTGGGCATCATACTCTAAACAAAGTGCTTCTTTTAAAGATAGATGCACTTACATAATATGAAGAAGAAGACCTAATGTATGTAACGTCACCATTTTACTGCAGCATTTCTGTACTATATATTGCTTAGAGCGAGCCAGTCACTGTTGGTTTGGTTTAAATGGTGAACCTCTGAATAAGGGACACCTTGGGGACATTGAAAGTGTCGTTACTCTGAGGAATCCCTGATTCAGAGGTAACATTAATGAACTCAATTTCCTTCAGTTGCATGATCTCCTTTTAGCCAGCCCTAACCTTAAATGCTCCAATATTTCACTCAGTGGTGTGTCTTTATGTAGGTCCGTGGAGGTCACAATGAGGCAGCTCGTTACCTCCTGAGTAAAGGGGCTAACGTTACCATGGTGAACGACAGTGGAGACTCGGCACTGACAGTGGCCAACAGCCCCAGAATGAAGAGAATGATAAAAGGTGAGAGATATTCTGGGCTGGAAACAATCATTAGCATCAGGTGAAGTTCTATCCTAGAAACAAAATGGCAAGTATTATTATTAGGCACACAATGCCCCACAAGAACAAAAGTGGTAGCCATATTAATTGACAAGCTGGAAACATTCACTTTAGCATTGATTGTGTGCTAAAGCCAAAGTGTGTCTGGTTCACTTATCCATTTCAGAGGCTTGGACTGAGCAGACAGAGCAAGCTGCTGACATGACAACAAAGTCAGACTCTGATGTAACCTCACCACTGTCACCGGGGAAACCAGACAACAAAGACTCGTTCTTCCTCACGGACCGTCAGATGAGTCGCAGTCTGGACTTCGACGAACATCAGCTCACCAATCCAGATGACAGAGGTGGGTGTGGCTTTTTAGGTTAAGTGGGTGGGTGTGGTGAAAAAACATAGGCAGCAAAAAGCATGTGCCATCCCCGTGCGTACTGTATCCTCCTAGTAAAGGACACCTCTGAATATCGGATTCACTGTGCCCCTTCCTCTGTTGTAACTACTTTCCTCCGCTAAGTGGATGATGTCTGTTGTCCAGGGAGAGAGTGTTCAGGTGGTAGCTCCCCTCAAGCCCCTGACTCACCAGGTCAGCTGGCGGGGGAGAGAAGACGAGGGTCACGTGACACATCATGTGACGAGAGGGAGGCTGGAGAGGGAGGAGGAGGGGGTGTGGTCAGCGAGGGGGAGGGGAAAGCCGGCAGGGAGAAGAGAGGAACGAGACAGAAGTCAAAGATGAAAAGAAGAGTTCAGTCTGAGAGTATTCTTGTCGGTAAGTGTCCACCTCATGTCTCATGTAATATTGGGTGAGGAATGTTGGTCTTTGTGCTCACCAAGCATTGCAGCTCACTAGGTGTGTATACTGTAGTTTAAACTGCCAGAAAAAAATCCTACTACTTTTGGTATGAGTAGACTTATGATCGGTCATGGTAGCTGGCATGCGGTTTGGAACTCAACCAAACTCTTGTGAACGAACCTTCAGATAGACATGAAGAAAATTGTACCATGTGATGTACACTAGTCCCCTATCTGAGAGACTGTGTTACTCGTCTCTCTCTATGGACTATCTGACAGGTGAACCAGCTGGAAGTGGTAGGAGCTCAAGACTGGACCTGAGGTCCACACACCCTGTGGACAATACCAGACAGCGAGCTATGTCTACTGATGAGCAGTCTGGAACAAGAGGACCTGTATGGGTGTCTGGTGCTGGGAGGAGGATTGTTGGAGGGGATGATAGAGATAGGCAAGCTGGTGACAAAGAAATGAAGACCACGTCAAAAGCTAGTGCTGCCAGTCGGAAAAAGCCGTCCGGTCTCCTCTCCCAGACCAAGACCAACATTCATATGACCACCAAGAAAGCATCACGTGATGGTCATGTGATCAGCAACAGACCTCAGAGCAGAGCCCCTCAACCAGGGAGAGATCAGCAGCGCCTTCCTCAAGTCTACACCTACTCCTCACGTGAGTAGTAGTGGAACCTCAGAAAGTATACACTGCAAATAGAAGATGTAAATAAAGGACACCTCTCTAGTATGCCCCTATATACTAAAACATAGCGGACACCTCTGCACTTTTAATGTCCCATTTTCAGCTGTTTCAGTTGAAGTGGGCCAAAAGTATGGCACACTCCACCATGCTGTCATGTAACTGCAAAAGTTTTGCTGTCCGAAAGTGGGACCAAAGTAAATTCCCCTCCATCAGGAAGGCAATAGATATTAAGTGAAGGTGTTGTTCATCCCCTGGGGCGTGGCAAGGAACAAGACCCTATGGGGCGTGGCAAGGAACAAGACCCTATTTGATTATTACCCTCACGTTTTAGCCCTGATTCTACTCAGCATTGTGTTTGATTGTGACTTTGTTTATTCCTCTCCACAGCGCCAGCACCTAAACTGGCCGGCAGTTCCAGGAGCCAGGAGGACGGGAGCAGGCTCCCTCGCCTTAACCTGAGAGGAATGAAGGCAGTGAGTGTGATGAGTGTGGACACCAGGCAAGACAACCTGCGGGTGAGGCAGGTGCCCAGGACGACAGGCAGTGAGAGTCCTCTGCAGAGGTCTCGCTCTCTCATGGCTTGTGCCAGGTTAGACAGCCACATGTAACACAGTCACAAGGTCGCAAGGTCGCAAGGAAAACTAGAGTGGAACCTCTGAATTAAGGACACTCTTGGACGAGGTGTTTCTCATTTGGGACGTTTTCCCCTCTTTGGAGGATAATTTAAGTTTTCTCCAGCACACATAGGCTACTGGTAACATCACAGTATTAACTATTATATCTCCTCTATCGCCTATCTCCTCTCTCTCTCTCACCCAAACCTTCCTCCACCGGTTCCTGCTGCAGTGGAGACAACAAGCTAAAGTCTCTGGGTCAAAAGAGGAACAGCACTGGCTCCATTTACCAATTCCCCCCGCCAGATCAGAACAAGGTACATACAGCTTCATGCTAATGCTACACCCAACCATTGCATCATTGTCCTTATGCACATGAATTCCTTAATCCTCTGTTTAACTACACTGTTGCAATACATTTGCAGTATAATCTGTTCCTCTCACTGTAATAGGGTGCTCTACAGCCAAGACTGGTGGCCCAACAGCTTTTTAGCTTCCCCTCACACCATCCCTCCTCACATCATCCCTCTTCACATCCCGTCCCACCCTCCCCTCATCACCCTCCTCCCCTCGGGACTCAGAAGAGACTCCAACCAACAACTCCAGCCACACCCAACCCCACCCTACAATCTCAGGGGAACCGAATCAATCTAAATTTCCCGACCCCCCAGAAGAACAGGAACCCCCAGCCTCCTCCCCTTCAACCAAAACTGTCTGTGGTGGTCGAACTGTCCGAGAGCATCGGCAGCTCCACCCATTTTGACCACGCCCTCCTTGACTCCACCCCCTCTGACCACGCCCTCGTCGACTCCACCCCAGGGTCAGAGGGCAGCACTCTCAAGGCTTCCTCTCAGTCTGAGTTTGAGACTGACAGTCTGGAACGGAGGAACACCCCGACTCTGACAACACCGCCTCAGAGCCATGCCCCCTCCTCCGCCCAACCACACCCAGTCCAATCTCCACTATCTCCCCATCTGCTCTTCCTGCGACTGTAGAGAAGTTTTACCAGCTGACTCGCCAGCCATCTAGCCCCACCCCCTCGTCAAACACCATCATCAACTACGCGGCAGTGAGTGGCTCCACCCCTCTCTCCCCGATATGGAACCTGGACCTTCCGCAGTCTGCGTCCAGTTCTAGTTCCAATTACATCATCAGTGCTCTTGCCGACGGCCCCTCCCCTCTTCTCGGTCTCCGTTCCAATCCCAGAGCCGCCCCTGGTCTGGACTCGGGGCACTCCACTGACGAGGAGAGGGTGGAGGAGGAGGAGGAGGAGGGAGGGAGCAGTGAAAGTTCTAGTGAGGCGGAGTCAGTGGGTGTGGGCGTCATTAGATCTCTGCAGTGGAAGAGAGGCAGGCTGCTGGGGAAGGGGGCCTTCGGGAAGGTATGGGAGGGGCTTCTGGACTCCGCCCAGATGATTGCCGTGAAGGAGGTGGAGCTTGACATTGTGGGCCAGAAGGCTCAGTCGGTGAGTCATCTACAATACATACGTAGGTCTGCACGAAATACGCAGTTCCATTTTTGCATATTCGTTGGCAGGGAACAATTAAACAAGAAATGCTCTCTGTAAATGCTTAATAATTATGTCGATGGTTTTATGCTAGTTAGACTTGCAAACAGTTATGTTACTCACCCTTTGGTAGCTAAAGGGTAGTTAGCTTATATGGATCCTAGTAGGTATGGTAATAAGAGGGTCCTACCCCTCCTTACATACGCAGTCCAGTATGTATAAACAGTTCCTCACGTCCATCTGACTCTAGTAGGATCCATGTAATAAATATGTCCCTACACATCCGTCCCGCAGTATCCTAGGGTATCAAATATCCTACTCCATACGTCACTTAATCCTGTAGTGATATAGTCACATCCTTAACAGTAGACGCTAGTATGATCCTAGTTGGTATAATAAAGGTCCTACTACCCCCACATCCAGTTACAGTAGACAGCTAGTATGGATCCTAGTAGGTATGATAATAAGAGGGTCCTACCCCCACATCCAGTTACAGTAGACAGCTAGTATGGATCCTAGTAGGTATGATAATAAGAGGGTCCTACCCCCACATCCAGTTACAGTAGACAGCTAGTATGGATCCTAGTAGGTATGATAATAAGAGGGTCCTACCCCCACATCCAGTTACAGTAGACAGCTAGTATGGATCCTAGTAGGTATGATAATAAGAGGGTCCTACCCCCACATCCAGTTACAGTAGACAGCTAGTATGGATCCTAGTAGGTATGATAATAAGAGGGTCCTACCCCCACATCCAGTTACAGTAGACAGCTAGCATGGATCCTAGTAGGTATGGTAATAAGAGGTCCTACCCCCACATCCAGTTACAGTAGACAGCTAGTATGGATCCTAGTAGGTTGGTAATAAGAGGGTCCTACCCCACATCCAGTACAGTAGACAGCTAGCATGGATCCTAGTAGGTATGGTAATAAGAGGGTCCTACCCCCACATCCAGTTACAGTAGACAGCTAGCATGGATCCTAGTAGGTATGGTAATAAGAGGGTCCTACCCCCACATCCAGTTACAGTAGACAGCTAGCATGGATCCTAGTAGGTATGGTAATAAGAGGGTCTACCCCCAATCCAGTTACAGTAGACAGCTAGCATGGATCCTAGTAGGTATGGTAATAAGAGGGTCCTACCCCCACATCCAGTTACAGTAGACAGCTAGCATGGATCCTAGTAGGTATGGTAATAAGAGGGTCCTACCCCCACATCCAGTTACAGTAGACAGCTAGTATGGATCCTAGTAGGTATGGTAATAAGAGGGTCCTACCCCCACATCCAGTTACAGTAGACAGCTAGCATGGATCCTAGTAGGTATGGTAATAAGAGGGTCCTACCCCCACATCCAGTTACAGTAGACAGCTAGCATGGATCCTAGTAGGTATGGTATAAGAGGGTCACTACCCCCACATCCAGTTACAGTAGACAGCTAGCATGGATCCTAGTAGGTATGGTAATAAGAGGGTCCTACCCCCACATCCAGTTACAGTAGACAGCTAGCATGGATCCTAGTAGGTATGGTAATAAGAGGGTCCTACCCCCACATCCAGTTACAGTAGACAGCTCGATGGATCTAGTAGTATGGTAATAAGGGTCATCCGTACAGTAACAGCTAGCATGGATCCTAGTAGGTAATAAGAGGGGTCCTACCCCCACATCCAGTTACAGTAGACAGCTAGCATGGATCCTAGTAGGTATGGTAATAAGAGGGTCCTACCCCCACATCCAGTTACAGTAGACAGCTAGACATGGATCCTAGTAGGTATGGTAATAAGAGGGTCCTACCCCCCACATCCAGTTACAGTAGACAGCTACGCATGGATCCTAGTAGGTATGGTAATAAGAGGGCCTACCCCCACATCCAGTTACAGTAAGACAGCTAGCATGGATCCTAGTAGGTATGGTAATAAGAGGGTCCGACCCACACATCCAGTTACAGTAGACAGCTATAGCATGGATCCTAGTGAGGTATGGTAATAAGAGGGTCCTACCCCCACATCCAGTTACAGTAGACAGCTAGCATGGATCCTAGTAGGTATGGTAATAAGAGGGTCCTACCCCCCACATCCAGTTACAGTAGACAGCTAGCATGGATCCTAGTAGGTATGGTAATAAGAGGGTCCTACCCCCACATCCAGTTACAGTAGACAGCTAGTATGGATCCTAGTAGGTATGGTAATAAGAGGGTCCTACCCCCACATCCAGTTACAGTAGACAGCTAGCATGGATCCTAGTAGGTATGGTAATAAGAGGGTCCTACCCCCACATCCAGTTACAGTAGACAGCTAGCATGGATCCTAGTAGGTATGGTAATAAGAGGGTCCTACCCCCACATCCAGTTACAGTAGACAGCTAGTATGGGTCCTAGTAGGTATGGTAATAAGAGGGTCCTACCCCCACATCCAGTTACAGTAGACAGCTTGTATGGATCCTAGTAGGTATGGTAATAAGAGGGTCCTACCCCCACATCCAGTTACAGTAGACAGCTTGTATGGATCCTAGTAGGTATGGTAATAAGAGGGTCCTACCCCCACATCCAGTTACAGTAGACAGCTAGTATGGATCCTAGTAGGTATGGTAATAAGAGGGTCCTACCCCCACATCCAGTTACAGTAGACAGCTAGTATGGATCCTAGTAGGTATGATAATAAGAGGGTCCTACCCTCACATCCAGTTACAGTAGACAGCTTGTATGGATCCTAGTAGGTATGGTAATAAGAGGGTCCTACCCCCCACCACCAGCAATACGAGAAGCTGAGACTAGAGGTGGAGATCCTGCGAAGTGTGAGGCACAAGAACGTGGTCAGCTACCTGGGGACCAGCATGGACGACGGACACGTCTACATCTTCATGGACCTCATTCCTGGTGGCTCCCTCCTCAGTATCCTCAAGAGGCAAGAGAGCTAGCAGCGTTCTCGTAGCTCACTGTAATATTATTATGGTTAGAGTACACAGGCCAGGAGGGAAGGAGAAAGAACCAACCACTGTCGTGAGTCAAACTCAGGCATCTTGACTGGAAGTCCAGTGCACATACCCACTTAGCTAAAAGTAGCTAGTTTCACCAATCCCTCTAAATGCACCGGTGTCACATGTTTAAGACCAGCTTTTGTCTGCATGGCACTGGAGTTCCAGATCGACACCCAACAGAAATTAGTTCTTTTCCTTCCCTCCCGTCCTATGCATCTTGAGTTACCATCTACCCAGTCAATTAATGCATTAACTCTTCTCTCCCTCAATTTCTCTCCTCACCACCACCCACTTTAGGTTTGGCCCACTGAGTGACATGACATGCAGTCACTACACACGACAGATAGTGCAGGCACTGAAATACCTCCACAGTAACGGCATAGTACACAGGTAAAACCTACTGTACCATTAGCTGATCATGTGACTAATACCATTAGCTGATCATGTGAGAACTGATGGGTTAACCATCACATGATACCAACATTTCATGTGACAATCACATGATATCGTTAGCTGATCACGTGACCATCACATGATCCAGGGACATCAAGGGAGCAAATGTGATGGTGACTCAAAACGGAGTGATAAAACTGATTGACTTTGGATCAGCAAAACAGGAGGTTGCTGGAGACTTGATCTCGGTAAGATCCTGCACGAGGTTAATTATCCCAGGTCACATGAGAGTCACATGACCACAGGTACGAGGAACTCCGTACTGGATGGCTCCGGAGGTGATCAGGGGGGAGGGGCATGGGAGGAAATCAGATATCTGGAGTCTTGGGTGTACCGTTCATGAATGGCCACCTCCAAACCTCCGTGGTTAGTTGGTGAGGGGAGAGCAATGGAGTGAGTGAGTGTGAGGGAAAGAGGGGTTTGTAAAGTAAAATAGCTATCACTTACAAGCCACTTACATGTGTATGGGTTATGGGTATATACATCGCCAATAATGTTATGCGTGGCCAGACAACATGAGCAAGTTCTCAAACTGTGCTAGCTAAGTACGGTGTGATAAAGAGGTGGTCATGGCAATCATTGTGATGTGGTACAGCTTAATGGGAGAAATTTTAAGTCTTCCAAGGGAAGTTAGAGAGAGGGCCAGAGAATAAAGGGAAAGAGTTAAGAGGCAGGCAATGTTCTTCCCCAGGGCTGATAATCCTCCTGAGGCGGCCATCTTTCGGATTGGAACAGGCACCCCTATCCCCCCTCTTCCTGACCGACTCTCCTCTGATCTCATCTCTTTCATATACAGGTGAGCTCTTATACCACCCACCCATACGTCTGCTAGTTATGTGCTGCAGCTTCAGTTAGGTCTACTCTAAACAATGATATAGCGGGTTATTTCATTCTTGTGTGCACGTAACATGCTTGATGCACTGTATATAACTCGGAAAATGCGAAAAAAAAACACATCTGCTGATAGTGAAAATCTTGTTCTATATACGGACCTAGCTGCAGCTGTTGCAACATTGTGAATCTGAACAGTTTTTTCTCTTCAAAGCTTTATAGTCGTGGTGGAGCTTAATTTTCTATATTCGACAGAACTCGTCAGAAAGTTTCCAACTATAGGCTCTGAATCTGTAACTTGTAACGCCCACCAACAACACCCTCTCTCCCTCCCCCTCCCCCTCTCCCCCTCCCCCAGATGTGTGACAAGAGACCCAATCCAGAGACCTGGAGCTGACCAACTCCTGAAAGACCATTTCCTCAACAAATTCAAAAAAAGAAGAGCTTCATAAATTCTATTTTTAACTCTCTAAAATTCAATTTCAAATGTCGTGCCTAAACACAAACTAAAAAGACTCAGTCAATTTATTTTTGAGAAAACAGTTCAGAACTTGGCGATAGCCTCAGTCCATTCCAGCAGCTGAGTGCTCTTGTTCACCTTCTGTAGCCACGCCTCTGGAATGGAATCCAGACCATACCTGTGTCAGAGACCAATTCCAGAGTCACATGATAAGCAACAGAAAGTCATGATAGTCTCACATGATTAGCAAAATGAGTCACATGCTAGATTCACAAATCACATGATAAACACTCTTGAAAAGGGTCACCTTTACATAATATTACAATCCCTGCACAAGGATGCCTCACTATATACATAGTAGTGGATACTTTCTACTGTTCAATTGGTTTCAGATTAGAGGGGTTCCACTGTACTCAGGAGTCACATGACATAGTCACATGATCAGTGACAAGGGTCACATGATTGCTGACTCACTTGGCACCGAGGCAAGCTCCAATAAAAGCCACCCTTGAGCAGTTGTCACCAGCTGCCAGGATCTCACCCCTGACTGCATCTGTGTAGCTCTGGGATACGTTGATGCCATGGATCATCCCTATGAATGATGGAGGCATGCCTGCAGGGAGAGAGGGAGAGAGAGGGGGGAGGGGAGAGAGGGAGGGAGAGAGGGAGAGAGAGGAGGAGAGAGGGAGGGAGGGAGGGAGAGAGGTGGGAGGGGGAGAAAGAAGAGTGCTAATTGGCAACCTAGTGAAGAAAGATCTCATGACAGCACTTATGTGCTAACATTTCCGAAGCACCTTATAGTTCTAAAACCACAAATTCTGACAAGTGCAAACCTATCCATCAGAGATCTTGTTTTCAGACCATGCAGTAATCATGCATAATATTAGAGCTATATAATTATATAGAGTTGCACATTTTTGTTTCGAGACGTCCTTTAATCATGGAGGAAGACGGACAGAGTGTGTGTGTGTGTGTGACAGCTCTTACCACAGGCCAGGCCGTGTGTCTTGACGGCATCCTTGTGGCTGCTGGTGTCAGCAATGGCCTTCCTGATGGAGCTGGCCACGTCTCTATCAGTGGAGTCCGAGGACTTCTCCAGCTCCTCAGCCACGCCTACCAGCGATGGCTGGCCCGTTGCTAGGATACCACTCAGGATTCTGGCCCCGCCCAATGCATACCTCACTGCCACCGGGTGACTCTGTAGCCCACACAAACACAGAAAGTGAATCCTTTTCCAAAAAGTTCTGTACAGTTAGTGAGTATATCTACCATCTGCAAAAATACTGTTGTGAATACCGATGCTCTTGTCACACGATTGCTGCATAGAAAGTTAGCGCGGTGTAACAGTGAAAACAACCGCACCATCACTGTGGATACTATTCCACTGAAAGAAAACGCTCTGAATCACACTTAACACTTCAGGTCAGGTCCGCCGTGTTTTCTGTCGGGTTAAT